GTCCATTTGATCTATTGCATATTTTAGATCTTGAATTTCTTTATTGATTTTTTGTTTGGATGACCTATCTATTGATGATAATGGGATGTTAAAGTCTCCCACAACCACTGTGTTGGCGTTTATATATGCTTTTAGGTCTTTCAGGCTATATTTGATGAAATTGGGTGCGTTGACATTGGGTGCATACAGGTTGATAATTTTTATTTCCTTTTGGTCTATTTCCCCTTTTATTAGTATGGAATGTCCTTCTTTATCTCGTTTGATCAATGTAGGTTTGAAGTCTACTTTGTCAGAGATAAGTATTGCTACTCCTGCCTGTTTTCAGGGGCCATTGGCTTGGTAAATCTTCTTCCAGCCTTTCATCCTAAACTTATGCTTATTTCTGTCAGTGAGATGGGTCTCCTGTAAGCAACAAATTGTTGGATCTTCCTTTTTAATCCATTTCGTCAAGCGGTGCCTTTTGATGGGTGAATTAAGTCCATTAACATTGAGCGTTAGTACTGATAGGTATGTGGTGATTCTTGTCATTTAGTTGGCTTTGTTGTTTGAAGGTTGATTGTGTGTATCTAAGTTGAGGTTACTCTCTACTTTCTTGCTTTTTCTTTTCCTATGGTTTGGTGCTGCCTATCTTTTCATTAAATTGGGTTTCACTTTCTGTGTGCAGAATCCCTTGCAGAATCTTTTGTAGTGGTGGCTTTGTGGTCACATATTGTTTTAGTTTCTGCTTATCATGGAAGACTTTTATTGCTCCATCTATTTTGAATGATAGTTTTGCTGGGTAGAGTATCCTGGGGTTGAAGTTATTTTCATTCAGTGTCCGGAAGATCTCACCCCACGCTCTTCTTACTTTTAATGTTTCTGTTGAGAAGTCTGCTGTGATTTTGATGGGTTTACCTGTGTATGTTACTTGTTTTTTCTCTCTAACAGCCTTCAATATTCTTTCCTTAGTTTCTGAACTTGTTTTAATGATGATATGTCATGGGGTAGTTCTATTTTGATCTGGTCTGTTTGGTGTCCTGGAGGCCTCTTGCATCTGTATGGGAATATCTTTCTCTAGATTTGGGAAATTTTCCGTTATTATTTTGTTGAATATATTACGCATTCCCTCGCTTGCACCTCTTCTCCTTCTTCGATGCCCATGATTCTCAAGTTTGGTCTTTTGATGGAGTCGGTGAGTTCTTGCATTTTCTTTTCACAGGTCTTGAGTTGTTTAATTAATAGTTCTTCGGCTTTTCCTTTAATTATCATTTCATCTTCAAGTTCTGAGATTCTGTTTTCTGATTGTTCTATTCTGCTGGATTGGCCTTCCATTTTGTTTTGCAGTTCTGTTTCGTTCTTTTTTCTGAGGTTTTCCATATCCTGGGTGGTTTCCTCTTTAATGTTGTCTATTTTTGTCCTGAGTTCATTTATCCGTTTATTCATTGTGTCCTCTCTTTCACTTTAGTGTTTATACAGTGCTTCTAGGGTTTCCTTTATTTCTTCTTTTGCTTTTTCAAATTCTCTATTTTTGTTGTCTTGGAATTTCTTGAGTGTCTCCTGTACATTTTGGTTGATCCTATCCAGTATCATCTGTACAAAATTCTCATTGAGTACCTGTAGTTTGTCTTCTTTTAAATTATTCTTGTGGGCTTCACTGGGTCATTTGGCATAGTTTATCTTCATTTTTTTGGAGTCTGGATCTGAGTGTCTGTTTTCTTCATTCTCCTCTGGTTCCTGTGCTAATTTTTTGCTGTGGGGAAACTGGTTTCCCTGTTTTTTCTGTCTTCCCGTCATTGTCTTTGGTGTTGTTACTGTCCCTGTACTGTGTGCAATTAAGTATTTTCTAGCTTGTAATAATAACAATGGTAATATTTAGAATGGAAGGGTGAGCTGAGATGGAAAGGAAGACGTTAAAGAAATGGGAAAAACAAATACGCAGACTGGAGGGAGAAAACAGAACAAGGTTTCAGATAAGAAAGTTTCAAAGGTATAAACAGGGAGCGTTAGTGTACTAATCGACAGTAAGCTGAACAGACATTAGACAGAGGATTGAAAATCAAAAATAAAAAAAATAAAGATAAGAATAAAAATAAAAAATAAGTAAATGAGAGAAATATCTATATATAAAAATGAATTAAAATAAGATGAAAAATAGAAAATTTAAAAAAAAAACCAAAAAACTTCCAAGTTCAAATGCAATGAAGTTTCAGTCTTAATAATTTGGGTGTCCATCTCAGTCTCCAATCCTGGAGATGGTGCCTCAGATTTTGTTCTGTAGTTGTCTCATCAAAGGGGACGCATAAAGTAGAACAAAGTACACACACACACATACAAAAAAACCCCACCAAGTGTTCCAAGTTCAAATGCAATACAGTTTCAGTAAGTTTTTCAGCATGCAGGTGTAATTCGGTTGTTCTCTCATCAAGGATAGGGAGAAAAAGAAAAAAAAGAGTCTGGAGACAGTTCTGAAAATGGTATCTGTAGCTGTGGCTTGCCTGCCCACTGCTGTCAGCCTGCTGTTGCTGGAGGTGTTATTTATGCAGATCTCTGGGGTGAGCTAGCACTCACCTGGTCCCACAGGCTTTGTTTGCTCAGAGTTCTCCTGTGCGGGAGCCTCTGCTACAAGCTTTCCCCTTTCCAAGCACTGGGAAAGGTGACACTGCACCCGTGTTGTCAGGCCTGCGTGTTTATTTACAGTTCATGTGAGAGGTGGGTCTTCCCCCCTCTCCTGTGGAGTTTTCCTCCCTCTGCCACTCTCACAAGCTTTCCCACTCCAGGTTGCTGGGCGCTCACCCCTGCTCCTGCCAGAGTCTCTCCAGCCCACTTGGCTTGTTTATTTACAGTCCCAGGAAGGATTCCCTTCCCCCAATCTTCAGCGCTCAGTGTGCCCCACCCTCTTTCCCGCGTGTCTTTATTGTTCTTATTGCTTATTACTCAGTTTCTCTTTTTCCCTGGGTGGAGGCCGGTCTGTGCAGGGGGCTATGCTGCTCTGGCCCAGGGTTGTCTGTGGGAGTACCGCGGTACCACGAAGCTCACCTTGTCTGCGTCTTCCCAAGGCATCTGGGCGCTGGTGACTGGCGGCCTGGGGGCCCTCCTGGTTTCTCCGTTTAACGTGTAGTGGAGATTCTCTGCACAGGCTGGAGGTGTGGAGGGGTCAAAGTTATGCCTCTTCTCAGTGATTATGCCTGCAAAGTGTGTCTCCAGCTTCTCTCCCAAGATTTCACTGTAGGAGGCTCGCTTTCTGCTTCCTCCTCTAGCCGCCATCTTTGAATCTCCACTTCTGTATTTTCTGTTCTTATTTGTGTACTCTAAAGATTTTATCCAATTTAACTTACAGTCTAAACCTGATATCTTTTAATAGCTTTCTGATTAACACAAAGCCCTTAGACTGCTTTGACTCTAACCACTATCTCCTGATTGTGTCTTATTTTTGACCTCAGTTTTAGTCACATCTTTGTTTTCTCTAAATCTCTCATGTAAAACATAACAGCCAGTGTTTTAAGATTTATGTTTACTGTTTAACTTTTACTTTGCTCACCATTCTTTCTTGACTCTCATCCTTTTTTTAAAAATAATTCCCTTTTTTTTCTGAGGTATATCCTTTGCAGGTTTGTTTAGTTCAGGATCTGTTGGTCATAAATACATTTCTCAGACCTGAGTTTAGAATGTATTCTTTACACAGAGTGTAGGGATTTGCAGTTGTTTTTTACCAAGTGTCTGTAGACACTATCAGCCTTTAAATTTTTGGCTTGGGGCTTTTCATGTAGATCATATAAATTTAGGTCCCAAATCTGCCTGAAGTCAGGCCTATAGTTAAGGATTCTCAGACAGAACTTTAAAATTTTTCTTTTTTTTCCTCCTATCCAAGAGTGAGACAAGCATGACTCCTTTTAATCACCCTCTCTGTCCTCAGAGAAGGGTGCATTTTTTCTTCTTACACAATGATGAAGTTCCCCTTCCAGCATTCTGGCTTTGTCTCTCGTTCCCTGTACCAGTTATCCATCAAAGCCCAGGGCTTTAGGCAAATGCTAGCTCCTGCATACTTGCTTGTCTCTCTGGATTCTTGCTTTCTCATCATTTCTGGCCTCAGGAATTTCCTCATTTCCCTACCAGCTCAAACAAAGTTTTAAAAAACTAAAAAAAAAAAAAAATACTTGATCCAGCAACTTACAGGTGCTATACTAGGAGGAGTTTCTCTGAGCATCAAATCAACCATGTACTGCTTTGAGTTTTGAGCAATAAAGTGAGTTATGCTTCATTATTCAATTGTTTTATAAATTTTACTCAACTCCTAAAGAATTGGACTATTAAATCTATTCAGTGAAATAAACTTTTTACCTAATGGACACAATATTTCACAGATTTTAGAAACACAGAATGATATTACAATTAAGAGTGAAGTAGTACTTAATATTTCATGGTCATCATTATTACAACCTCTTCTAAAGCATAAATTGGTATTTTATTCATGGTTTGTAGTTGAGAAATGTTGTCAGAGTTAATTCTGTGCCGTTTTCAATCTTTAGAGGCAGAGTTCTCCTGCAGCAACTCTGAAGTGAAAATGAAATGTTAACTTTTTTTTACTAGCGGCCTAACCTACCATGTGATTCCTAATTTATCCTTTTTTTTTTTCTTTCTCAGTTTTACTTTTTTAAATAGCTTTGTATGTGATAAGTTATATTGTTTTATTTCTTTGCCTTTTATTGCTTAGGGGAAATACATCCCACCTTGAAGCAAACAGGAATAGTTTAGTGTCTAATTTATTTTTTTCATTTATTCATAGTCCTCAGGGCCTAGAACCAAACATTTGATTGAGTGGATTAATCAAGGATATGTTATATGCTTTCCCACCACCACCACCTGGTGAGTGTTGTGTATATAAATTTGGACCTATACATGACATAACTGATAAGTATTTTTCAGGTATACTTTGTGCAATAGATACTTTTAGTAATAGATTGTTTTTAGTGCATACATTTGTAAACACTGAGGAAGATACTATTCTGTCTTTATTATCTTAGGGTAATACTGAACAACCTGTCCAAACTAGCAAGATTGGCCTTGGAAGGCGAGAATATCAAAGTTTGCAACATCGCCATCATTCTCAGCGTTCTAAGTGCCGTCCTCCAAAGGGCATGTATTTAACCCAGGAAGATGTGGTAGCTGTTTCCTGTAGTCCAAATGCAGCCAACACCATCCTGAGGCAACTGGACATGGAACTGATTTCTCTAAAACGTCAGGTATTTTGTAAAAAATAATATGCTTAATGATTGTGTCCATTTCGCTTATCCACTTTTACTTAGGTTGAACTCTGTTGTTTGCAGACTTTCTTGGTCACCCATTTATGTAAGTTTCTTTTTTGTGTGTGTGGTGCTGGGATTGAGCCCAAGGCTTGATGCCGTAGTAGACAAGTGCTCTACCACTAAGCTTTTTTTCATTCTTTAAAAACTTATCTTATTTGCAACTTATAAGATACTTCTGTCTATTTTGGATTTGAATTCAGCATAGTTACCTATTAGCTCTGTGATCATGGACAAATTTATATAACCTCACTAAGCTTCAGTTTTCTATCTATGAAAATGGTAATAACGATTGTACTTCTCTTGGAGGTTTTTGGGAATCTTTTGCAGTGATAGATGTTTATTTAGCATTGTTTGGCTAAACATTTTGAATGCTCAATGAGTAATTACTGCTATTACCATCAGTAGCAGTAGTAGCAGTAGTATTGTGAAGAATATCGTCATCGTAACCAGGTGGTTATGACCACCAGTAAGTTCTAACCTCAGCCATACCATCTCCTATCTGTGTAATCTTCAGTGAATTGTTTTAGTGTATCTCAGCCTCAGTTTCCTTATCTGGAAATGAGAATTAAAGTGGTGGAAAGGAATTAAACAAGATAATGTATGAGTGCTTGAAATTTAAAGGTTGTCATTAGGTCTCTAATCTTCTTTAGTCTTCTTTTCCTGTTTATTATCCTCATTTTTGTTTTTCTTTATTCCTTAAATTTAGATACTCTTCTAAATATGTACTTTCTTAGTATATATCATGCAACTATACACTATATGCCAGTGACTTATGAATCTGTTTTTCAAGCTGTAATTTTTCTCCCAAGCTCCATGGCTGTATTTCCCACTCACTGCCTGATAGATGTTCCCCAAAAGGATTTTTTTCCTGTTGCCTTTCTATTGAAACATCAGAATCATCTTTGATTCATCCCTTGCAATTATCCCTCCCCTAATACACATAAACCAAGTTACATGAGTTTTCTCTCTTCATTAGTTTCTACTTATCTTTATTAGGTTATAGTGTAGGGATTTATAAGAAGTTGATGTTAAGAAATTTGAAATTCATCCTGAGTTAAGAAACCACTGAAGGTCCATGGCCATATGTCATATTCGCAAGTTTGATTTTGATGTTACACTATTAAGAAATTTAAGTTTTGAGGGGCAGTGCTGAGGATTGAGCTCAGGGCCCTGCACTTCAATTAAGAAAGTAATCTGAAGACCAGGCTCAGGGCTCAGGTCTGTAGCTAGCTGCTTGAGACATGGAGGTAGGGAAGATCACTGTTCGAGGGCCACCCAGACAAAAAGCATTCGCTAAAACCCATTTCAACCAATAATAGCTGGGCATGGTGGCATGCACCTGTCATCCCAGCCACACAGGAAGCTTAAATAGAATTACAGTCCAAGCCAGTGTGGGTATAAAAACACAAGACCCTATTTCATAAATAACTAAAGCATGGTTGGAGGCATAGCTCGAAAGGTGGAGCACCAGCCTAGCAAGTGCAAGGCCCTGAGTTCAAATCCCAATACTGCCAAAAAACAAAATAAATCTAGCAGTCTAAAAAAAATTGAAGACTTTGAAGTGTATAATTTCACTGATAAAAAAGATAGAGTTAATATTATACCAAATCACATAAAATGTAAGACATTTGCAACTATATAGTGTGTAACTAAGATTCATAACCTAAACATGTTCAGATTTCTCTGTCCCTTGACGCTGGTTATTTATCCAAACTGTTCTTCTCTTTTTCTTTTCTTTCCTTCCACAAGTACATACCACACTAGCTGCTTCACCACCTTCTCTGATCCTTTCTAGTCTAGTTCCTGCCTCATATTCTATTCTAGTTCTACCACTGAAAAACTATCCTGGGATTATCTGTAAATGTATTCTTAGGTCTAATGCTTTCTTCTTGATTTTTACCTCCCTACTCAGAAGAATTTGACACTGTCAACCATTTCTTCTTTGAATTCCTTTCCCTTGACTTCTGTGACACTGGCCTCTCTTAGTATATATAATCTATATGTGATTAAGTGCTTAGCCTTGAATCAAACTACAGATGTTTGTAAAAGACTCCCATCTTCCAAACTGTAGCTCTCCTCTTTAGAAAACTTCTAAAATACTTCTAAAATAATACTTTGAACGTTCCCAAAAATGAAGACATAAAATGTAGTCCCGTCACCTGCATTCATACATTCATACTTCATATTACTATATGCTTGTGGATTCTTTATTGAGGGAGGTGTAGTACTGGGGCCTCACACTTCACAGGAAAGTGTTGTAAATTTTCATTGATTTTTTAAAAGAACTTTATTTTTAAGCTTTGCGTTCCTGCTTTGGTTTTTCATTTCATGTGTGACATACTAAAGGTTTGCACTCATGGATAAATTCTGCTGGCCATTGCTACTTTTATATCCCAAACTCATCTCACATACAGTGGCCAAACTGATTTCTTCCACTCCTAGTTACCTGTTCCTTTTGTTGTTGTTCTTTTATTTCCTGTAGTGCCATAAACAGTTACTCATCGGGTATCCAATGATATCATTCCCCCTAATTCTCCACAATCGTGCACTTACAAAGAGATCCTAATTTTGTTCCAAAGCTATTTCTTTAGCCCATCTCAGTGTACCATCACCATATTCCGTCATTCAACTGTTTAATATTAATTTAATATTTCTCACCTGGATTATTAAATTAACTCATACTCTTCACCCCATTTTCATCTCCACCTTACTACTGAGGTATCTTTCTAAAAGGCAAATGTGGTCATGTTAAAAATCCTTTGTTTCCTTCAGTCTGTAGTCAAAATTCAAATTCAGTACTAACACTTAATATTTTAAATGAATACTAAAAATATTGGTAGTAGAATAGTAATTTAACACTTGGGAACTAGAAGTATGCTGAAGTGATCCAAGTCCAAGGCCTTAAGTTCAAACTCCAGTACTGCCAAAAAAAATTAAATTCAGATTATACCTCTACAAGCGTGGCCTTGGGAAAATTTGTTAACCTTTAAAGAAAGGTTACGTTCCTCATCTTTAAGTGGTTCTAATAGAAGTATAGTCAAGGGCGAATGTCTGTAAACCCAGCTACTCAGAAGCAGAGATAGGAGGATGATGGTATGAGGCCATCCTGAGCAAAAAAAGTTAGACCCTATCTCAAGAAAGAAACCAGGGTTGAAGGCATGGGCATGGCTCACATGATAGAGCACCTGCTAGCAAGCATTAGGTACTGAATTCAAGCCCTTCAGTAGTGGCCCCCCCCCACAAAAAAGATAGATCTGGTGGCTCATTCTTGTAATCCCAGTCATGTGGGAGGCAGAGGTAGGAGAATCACCAGACCAGGCTGGCCTGGGCAAAAGCTCAAGACCTTATGTGAAAACTAAAGCAGAAAGGGTTCAAGTGATAGAGCACTTGCAAGCACATGGCCCTGAATTCAAACCACAGTACCACTCCACAAAAACAATAATAATAAAGATAGAGCCATTTCTGCTCTAACTCTTGTTTTGAAAACATGAATTTCTTCCAAGGCAAGGGAGTATTTTGAGCATACTGTGAATTTTGTGTTTGGTGGGGGTTGGTACTAGAGATTGAACTAGGACCCTCACACTTGCTAGATTTCTACCACTTGGACCACACACACACACCCTTTTTTTTTTTTTTTTTTTAGTTACTTATCAGGTGGTGTTTTGTATTTCTTGCTCTGGGTGTGGGACTCAGAATACAATTCTCCTACGCATAGCCTCCCACATAGCTTGGATCAACAGGCATGCAACCCTATACCCAATTGATTCGTTGGGATTATAGGCATGACCCACTGCCACCAGCTTGTGTGTATATGTTTTGTTTATTTTGGGTTTTTGTTTTTTTCTTGTTGATGCTACAAACCCAGGGCCTCCCACTTGCTGAGCCAGTCCACCAGCCCCCACCCACTTGCACTGGTTTTTTTTTTGCTTTATGTTCAGGCCCAGTTTGGGCCATGATCCTCCTATTGTGCTTCCCAGCATAGCTGGGATGACAGATATATTCCACTGGCCCAGCCATTAATTGAGATGGGATCTTGTGGACTTTTTGTCCTGGCTGTCCTCAAAGCTCAACCCTCTTGATCTCTGCCTCCCAGGTAGCTAGGATTACGGCTTGAGCCACCAAGCCCAGCTTGTGTTTTTTCTTTTTGGAGGTGGGGTGATACTAGGGTTTGAATTCAGGGCTTTGTGCTTACCAGACAGGTACTCTATCACTTGAGCCATGCCTCCAACCCTTCTTGCTCTGCTTATTTTAGAGATGAGAGTCTCTTTTTTATGTTGTCATTATTTTTGTCCAGGCAATCCTAGACCACAGATTTCCTATTTTAGATTTCCTGCCTTAGCTGGAATGACAGGAACATGCCACCACACCTAGCTTTTTTCCATTTAGATGGAATCTCCAAACTTTTTTCTCAGGCTTGCCTGGAACTGTGATCCTTCTGATCTCAGTCTCCCACTTAGCTTGGAATGACAGGTGTGTACCCCTGTGTTGTACAACTGTTGGTTGAGAATGGGTTTCTCCTGAGTTTTTTGCCTGGACTGGCCTTGAACCATGATCCTCCTGATCTCAGCCTCCCAAGTAGCTAGGATTACAGGTATGAGCCACTGGCACACAGCTTTGTGTTTTTTTAAGTATCGTTTTTGTCAATGAAAAACGACACTCAGATGACCTGAGTACATACCCACCCAACTCAAAGTACCAGCTACTTCAGTTCACTCTGTTATGAACCACAAAACATCTGGTATAAAACTTGGATCTGATTTTAAGTGACTCTCTTTCTACCATTTCACAATAACACATAAGCTGTAACCATTTTGATACCCACTTCTACAAACAACCTTCAGGGTTTTTTAAGAAAGTTCTATCTTCATTGTAGCATTTATGAATTTCTTAACTGTTAAAAATATGTAAAACTATGCTCTTGTGTTTGTTAGATTTCTTTACTATTTGTCATTGATGAAGATTTTTTGAGTGTTTTGTCCCAACCTCCTTTTTTCCCATAAAACCTGTGGTTTTTACATATTTTGCATAGTATAATGACTTCTAAAAATGAATATGTTGGTGTATAGCAGAACTGATTGTACTTACTTCACTGAGTGGGTATGAGAATTAGATAACTTATTACACATAAAGTACCAAGAATGATGTTTTAAACCTAGTAAATATTAGCCACCATCATTATTATTCTTACTGGAATAATTTTTATTTGGTCAGAAAACATTATGGTATTTAATTCCTATGTATGTTAGTTGCCTTTGGTTATGAGAGACACTGTTAAAAGATACGATTTAGATCTGGGGATATAGATCAGTGGTAGACCACTTACCTGCCATAAGTGAGGCTGAGGGTTCGATCCCCAACACCACCAAAAAAAAAAAAAAACTATGATTTATGATATTCAGCATCTTATTCAAAAAAAAAAACTATGATTTATGATATTCAGCATCTTATTCAAAAAAAAAACTATGATTTATGATATTCAGCATCTTAGTCTGTAAACTATGTCTATTAGATGATGCATGTGTTAGTTCAATGAGTGGTGTATCACATCTTAAGTGTGATATTTATGTCTATTCTCCTGAAATAAAAATTTAAGATGGTTTTGGTATATGTCCTTTTCATCTGTTGAGTACTCAGAAGTTTACCTGAGTACATAATCTGATTCACATTTTGGGTTATTTTATTGAAGGTTCAGAATGCTAAGCAAGTAAATAGTGCACTTAAACAGAAAATGGAAGGTGGAATTGAAGAATTCAAACCTCCTGAGGTATGGTGTTAAAAAATACTTGTAATTAAGTATAGAGAAACACTGTTCTTTAAGTTATACAGTGCTCAAGTACTATTTGGTTTCTTGTGTTCTTGGTACTTTGAAAGCTTCACAATATGGATGATGTGTTATATCTCTTTTTTCATTTAGATAGTTGATCTTTTAAGCTTGACTAATCCTTTTGCATTTAAGTTAAATTATTTCTTTCCTGCTCTTAGCAATTCATATCAAGCAGAGTACTCAGGGAAAGTAGATGTAAGAGTAGGCACAGTATATTTAAACTTGGAGGTCATCAATGAGCAAGCTGGTACATTTCTGAGTATATAGCAGTGTTTGCTCAAAGCTCTTATCTGCCTGAATCTGTAACACAGCAAGAATGAACCACAAGAATAGAAGATCATTTTAACAAATTTGTATTTAATTTGTTTGTTTTTTGGCTCAAATTCATTCTTACATTGGTAAAAATATAAAATCTAAGACAAGATATAGATTGACCATTTTCTTAAGCCTTAACTTACGTTTTAGCTGAGACCATAATGTGTTTCTGATATTTCTGGTAATTATAGGAATACTTAAATGCCCTTAAGGTCCAATCAAATCTTTTTATAGAAACTTTTACTATAAGATCCTTTCTCTTTTTTAAGATTCCTGTTATATACTTCATTCCCTGGATTTGCCTCTCCATATATGTTATAATCGAATAGTCATATTTGGTCCTAATGGGACCTTTTTTCCCTCCCAATCATAGGCTGACTGAAATATCTACAGATGAAATTTGTGTGAGGCACTGGGAGAAGACAAAAGTAGGGCTTCAGAAATAATGCATTGTACCCATTCTTCTAGCCTTTAGTATTAACGTATCAGAAAAGAAGACCTGTTTTGAAGAAAGTTGTTTTATTTGGTTTTTTTGAATAATCTCTTTCAAGGATGTTAGGTTATGGAAAAGAATGAAAAATATATAGACCAGTATCTCATTTAAAACCTACAGGTAAACTGACATTCTAGTAACATTTATTTAAGGAAAATGTAATTTAAAAACCATTACTTGATTTTGTTATATTATTGCAACAAAAATGTTGTAAATTTTGTATTGAAATTATTTAAATTTTGTATTGTCATATATTAAAGTAAAAAATTTCAGTGCCTATAATTTCATAATTTAAAACTTGAACCGTGGATGCTAAAATCATTATGGGAATAATTGGAAGAACTTTTTGCTAAAAGTTTGAAAATTTTAATCATTAAATAAAACAAAGACATAGTTAACATTTTTCTCTTACAAGAAAATAACAAGTCCAGATAATTTTACATAAAGTCTACTAAATTTTTAAGAAAAATTTAATTCTAATCACATTTTTATAAAATAACAGTCTTACTCATTAACCTTATAGAAATATGTAAGAGTATAGTAGCATTTTATCTTGCCTGTATGCTGCCTCTTTCATCTTTACATAAATCCATACAAGTGAGTAAAGCAGATACTATTATTTTACATGAGGAAATGGGGACTCAGGAATGTTAACTGACTCACTCAAGGTCATGCAGTAGAGAACAACTGAACTCTCACAGTAGTTCAGATTTTTTAGAGCTTTGATTGGTCCTAAACTAGTACATATTATGCTGCCACTTTTGGAAGTTTTCATAGAACAGCAAAACTGTTAAGAGTGTTAAGTTTTCATTTTAATTCAGTTATTAGGTTAGAAGTTAACAAACATTTTTTTTTAAATCACCAAAATCTTAATATTCTATCATGCATATACTGAAGTTTGAATATTACTTTGGGGTGACCTATTAAACTCATATGACTTCAGAAATGCCCAGGATATATTTATATTCATCATAGTATTCCCATTGCTTTTAGGAGGAGGGCAACTTTAATAGATATATCTTGAAATGCTATATTAATTATCATAGCAAAGACCTTGAAAGTTCATCTGATCTATTCTCTTACTTTGGATAAGACTTTACCTAATCAAAAAATACTAATAACTTTTGGGATAATTGCAATAGGTCTTTAAATGAAGTACCTCACAGTTATTAAGGTGCTTTACTTATTAATTTGTTTTTATTTGTTGTTTTCATTTAGGGAAAAATTTGGTGAAGAAAGTCCATTCACTTCCACAAGTATTTATTGATCACCTATTTCATGTAAGGCACAATGTTAGGCACTGTGGAAAGGGGAAAACACATAAAGATGAGGATGAGATAAGGTGATTTTTTTCCACCTTCCTTAAAAAAAATTAAAGTTTAGATGTTATAAGACAAGCTAATAAAAATGATATGATAGATTTATAAGCAAAGGCTACAGGAAAATAGTTCGGCATTCATTCTGGCTAAGATAATCAGGGAAGACTTCCTACAGGGAGAGTGTTTCAGCTCAGGTTTGAAGGATACCTGGGATTTTTATACATACAGAAAGGGCAGAGGAGGGCATACCAGTTGTAGAAAATAATATAGCAATGATGTAGTGTTGAACAGTACATTCAAAATGTAAATCCAGTGAGGAAAATTAAAAACAGTAACCAATCAGCAACTATTCGCTAAGCACTTACTATATACTAATTTTTCTGCTAATTGCTATTGAGAATTCAACGAAAATGTAAAACAATCTTTTCTCAAGAATCATATTGTCTACTTAAAAAGGCAAACTTAAATGCAGAGGGGGAATGAACACAAGAGTATGAAAGAGTTGTCAACAAGGTTGAATAGGGGCTTCTTTGTTATAGAGATAGTAAGCAAGAGCCATTGTGTAAAAGTCCTTATAAAAGCTAAAAAAGAAATATGCCCTTTAAATTAAGTCAAATGGGAGAACCCTGTAGATTCTTAAATATGTGATGAAATTTTTTTTATTGTAGGAAAACTATCCTGGCAGAGTTACACAGTATATATTAGAACAGGCTGTCTTCACAGCTCCTAAAATAATAAGCATGTGAATGATAAATGGTAATGGGGTATGAGTAGGGTTTACTATTAGTGGTAAGATTGGAGGCATGTATACTTACCTGGCAGGGGAGATACCATGATCAAGAAGGTGGTTTTCCCAGGGTGAGGCTTATCCATTGCACTCGGATGTGCTGACCCCTGCTATTTCCCCAAATGTGGGAAAATCGACTGCATAATTTGTGGTAGTGGGGGACTGCGTTCGCGCTGTCCCCTGAAAACAAAGATTGGAGGCATGTGATAAATCCAAAGAACATTTCAAAATAGGAAATTAATGTGTCTCCTTGAAAGCATGTGTTAGGTGTAGAGGAGGGTGCATTTTGTTAGGCTTTCATTTGCTTTGAATGGAAGTTGATAGATGGAGGTGAGGAAATTAATGAATCCCAAAGGAAGAATAATTATAATTGAAAAGGGGGTGGTGTTTGAAATAAAAAATTTACCATCCATGGATGTTTTCTTAGAAAAGTGGGTAACATCCGTTTATTATGGATGTTGGGTAGAATTTTCAGCATTGGGTATAAGGTTTAACTTGTTAACCTTTTCCAGCTCTTCTGATTCATAAATAGTATAAGTCTGCCACTGAGAAATACATGAAGGCAAATTGATTTAGCAGGGAAAGGACTACAAAAATGCTAAATTCATTAAGGATGTCATAGATTGTTCTAAGTGGCTCTTTGGGACTTTCCATATTACTATATTTTTATTTGATTTTTTTAAAAAAATAATAGCATTTCAGAACAGGGCTTACTATAAAAAAAAATACTCTATGGTACTTTCTCATTAACTACAACTACCACAGAGGTTTAGATTCCTAGAAACATTCTGGTTGTCCTTTCTTTAAGTTAATTTCTATCTAAGTTTCTTGGGGTTTAAAGAAAATATAAAATTAATAACTTACAGAAATCCTATATATTTAAATTTTTACCCTATTTCTCCTTCAGTCTTTCCCCTTTCACTGCTTCCATCTTGTCACACAGACTATTTAATCCTAAAATTCCAGCTCCTCCCTTCTGCATTTTTTCCACCAAAGCTGCTGCTTAAAGGTTAACCTTATCACTAAAGACCAATTCCACAACTTTTAACTCCTGATCCCCCATGCCTATTTCTTTTTTGTTTTGGATGATTGTCCCTCTTTTTCTTTCTTTAACATTTGAGAGATTCTGTTCTCTAACTACTCTGTTCCCTTCTCAGCTGTAATTTTTTCCTTTTCATACATAAATACAGGTGAATTTTTATCCTCAGAATTGATTTTTTTTCTCTTCTCTCTTGCAGACATAAAATCTCAACACTGTGTTAAAGTTTTATATCACATGTACATTTAAATGACATAAATTCAGTGAATAGATGTTCACTGAAAAAATGGAAAGAGAAAATGGAAATGTGGCATGTTTCATGATAACAAGTACAATAATGATGGCAATTCTGCCTAAGCTGCATTTTTTGGGTATGTGCCCCAGAGTGAGCAGTCAAAACTGGAAATCCAGTTCCTTTCATCAGTTTTAGCTTCCACATGTCTCCTATGTATCTCTTTTAACTGAAGAGAGATTTTATTTAAATATATAAAATGTACTTTTTAAAGAAAATGCTATCCTGAATTCAAGTCAGCAGCTTTGTCTGGGGTTCAACTAAAAGGCCCATCCCAGTGCTGAAGGGATACCTGGCTAAGGGTGTTCATGGCTACCTTTGTAATGACAAGAGTAATTTTGAAGGAAAAATAACCCCACAACTTCTTTAAAGTTTGAGCCTAGTATAGGAACCTCATATAAGATATAAGGCTATTCCTTTCCCTTATAAAAATTTCCCAGCCCCTTCAAAATACGTGTTTAAATGAATGAATCTATTTTAGCCTCAAGTGGAACCTAAACTCTACCTGAATGCCCCATCCACCTCATTCTTAGTGTATACCAAATTAAATTTATCTTAGCTTCCCCTTTCCACATCTCCCAAATCAACCTTTCTTCACTTCTAGGTTCTTAACAATATCTCCCTTCTCCCAGCATTCCAGGCTTAAAGTCTTATTCTGGTTAAAATCTAACCCCTCTGACACATATACGCTCTTACCTTCAAAAAACACAACTATTGCTTATTGATTTTAATGTGATTTTCACTGCCCTTCCTATGGTAAGTGGTCTTTATCATATTTTAGTTTTACTATGACCAACTTTCCAGGCTTATTTGTCACTTCTTCCTAATACAGATCCTGTTATTCCCTACACATAGAAAGCCTTCTTTTCTTTCCCTTTCAGAAACTTCTGTTAATCCCCTCTCAATCTCCAACCCTTCCAAATTTCCTTTTTCATGTTCTTTTCCCTCACACCAGTTATTGTACCTTTTTCTCCTGTCTTTGAATTCCCCAGTATAGTACGTACTTTTTTATTTTAGTTGAAGTTATTTGTTCATCCAGTCTCTTGATTTTATTGTTGGCATTAGGAAGTTTAGATGAAAATAATTCTTCATAGTGTACATTATTTCTCTTTGATATTTTTGTTCCCTTTTCATGATACCTTTCCCTCAAGTTCCTGTCTTACAGACTGAACAAATATATCATCTTTTATTTACTCAGGCACTGTGCTAGATTCTGTTTTACATAAGTACTAAATATATACTCATATTTAGTTATATTTAATCCTCAAAGAAACTTGTAACACAGTTATTGCAACTTACACAGGAGATTGTGGGTATCTAAATTCTCACTAGTCTTAAGAAACACAGGGAGAAGCAGAAGCAGTCAAATAAAACAATATTCAACTCTCCCATTAGCTGTTACTACACATCCAACACACCAACATCCTTATCTGTCACTGTCTTGTTAATACAATACAAGTGCAGTACAACCAAAATGAAATTGTAAACTTTGCAAAGATGAAAAACTTCATGGAGTCTGTTAAAGTATAACAGAAAGATTTCAATCACTATAAAATTGTTGGCAGATGGTTTTCCAACAATTGATGAAAAAAGATCGGCATGTACTTCAAAACGAGCAATCTGAGAAATGAAGAATTAAGAAAAAGGTGTGGAGGAAATTATTGAAGCCTTTAAAACCAAAATGACCCATTTTACGATCATGTTTTAAAGTCCATAGCCACAGGGTAATGTACCATTGTATAGTCAGAAAATAAAATTAAAAGCATATTAGCTGTCCCTGGTTCATTCCCAGGTTTTGGCACAAAAAAATATATATATATATTAGCTAAATCATTAACTACTTTAGAAAATGAACCAAGTTGTGTTTTATTTTCATAAAGCAGATAGTTACAGTCAAATCTTTTATTTTTTACTGAAATATTTGAGCCTATTTTAAATAGGTTCCAGTACCAGTTTTCAGTGGTTGCCAAAGACTAATTTTATCTTTTACTGCCAAGGTTTCACATCCAGAAGTACCTGCATATTAACACCGCTTCTTCTCAGTCGTCGCTTTCTTGCTGTCTCTGCTTTCCTGACAGACACACCTGCTCGACTGTACCTACATCCTATTCAACTCCATTGTCCTTTCTTTCCTCTATTCTTTTCTCGGCTTCAGTCGCACGGCTCTGCTCTACATCCACTTTCTGGGTACATCCGTTCTCGGTACCATATCAGCTTTGCTGTGTCATATTACATACTTGCTCCGCTACTTTTGGCTATCCTCAGGTCCTCATACCTCTTTTTTTTTCACATATGAGAGAAAACCGTGTGGCCCTTGTTTGAGCTTTCTTTGAAGGCTCTGGCTGCCATGAAAATACTTATATTTAGCATCTCTATACTTGATTCACATTACTCTTCTTTTTGTGGAACATGCTTGTCACCTTCTTCTTTTCATTGTTTCTTTCACTTTTGTTTAAGTAAAAATGATAGAGTTTATTAGGAAAGGAATTTAGTATAACAGAATGTAAGTAGGAAGAAATGGAAAAGACTCCTTTTCATTCTTTTAGCTTTGGTTCATCCTTGCATTACTGCTTCTATGGATTTGTGTCAGAATTTTTCCTGTTCCCCCTCTTTCTCTTTTCCTTTTTGCTATTGTTCTTTTGCCTCATTGCCAGTATCCTGACTTTGAGTTTATCCACTGTTCACTGCCTGGGCTGCCTTGCTATCCCTTTTTAATCTCCTATGGAATTTAGTGATTTCTGTTTTAGCGCCCTCCCGTGCCAGGACTTTTTAAAACCTGTTTTCCTTTATCCTCTTAAGAAAATTTGTTTTTTAATTTTAATTTTTTTTCATTCTTCTTTCCAAATATTGACTCATAAAATAGACTTGAACCTCTGTGCACTATTAAAAACTGTTAAGATTACATGAGGTAAGACCTAAACACCCCTTCTCAAAGGAAGCCTTCTTTCTGTCTTGCTCTTTATGTCCCAGTATTGCACTATTCCTCTGTAAACCTCTTCAAGTTGTTGTACTTAACTTCTTCTCTCCATCTGCTGCCAAAGGGCTTTGATTAACTAGTCAGTGGATAAACACTAAAATCTGTTTAGGTGTTTGATATTGTAATATTGCCATAATAAAAATCCTAAGGTTAGTATTTTTAACAGTAATTTTGGGAGGAATATTGGGAAGTCTTAAGATAAAAAAATATATATTCTTATCAGTGGATAATTTTCTGCCTCAGAAATTTTAAAGAAACATTTTGAGTTTGGCCTATTCTAAATTCTATACTAATTTGTATCATGGTTTTAGGGTAAGAAAGGATTGGTTTAAATGTGAAGGGAAGAAATTTTAGTATCACAGATTCTCTAAAGCAAATAAAGTCTCTAAAATGTTAAAAATTAGGCTAACATCATTATCTGCAGTATATAATAGGAACAGTGTCATCCCTAGTCATTGACTAATAGGTTTTCTCAGGTTTTAATATCTCTAAGTATGAATGTTGTTCATTCTCCTAAATTAATACATTTCCCTTTCATTATCTTCGTATGTGAGTAAAAGGTAACTCTATATTTTTTAATCCTTCTAAAAACGGAATCTTTGTAAATCAGAGTTTTAGTAGTCTCATGTCTGTGATTTGGTGAAAAGTTAAAAAAAAATAAGCACTTTGGAAAAATGTCTGTCTTCATATCCTCATTAGGAAACTTCTCTTTAATTTTGTAGTCAAATCAGAAAATTAATGCCCGTTGGACCACAGAGGAGCAGCTTCTAGCAGTGCAAGGTATATTAAAGATAAGCAGTTATTCTTATTAATAATTATTTAACTTGTCAAGAAAGATGACTACCTTAGTTCTTCCATTCTTTTAGAAATGGATCAAGAAAGGGCTCTGTGTACACCACAAAGTATTGGTCACCAGGAATTCTTTGTTATATTTTTGGATGTGACATACTGAGTCTGTGTGCAATTAGGGTCCTGAATAGCACAAAATGCATTCTCAGCATTTAATTGATGATGATGACAGCGTGACTAAGTCTTGTGGGCTCTCTGTCTCTGCTTAAGTATTCTTACACTTGAGGTCGTTCTTATTATATCACTCATTGGTGACTTACAATTAAGAACATATATGTTTTTGGTTTCTCTGATTACTCTGTATGTAGTATGTATTTGATAAGTGTCAGGTGATGAAAATAATTGACTATACGTTTAACTTTCAATGTATCATACTTTAAGAGATATGCCACTGAATGCTTAAAAACCAAGCATTTAAATACATAACTATATTTAAAAAGAGGCATGTCAGAAATATACATACAGAATTTTTTTTTTGGTTTTTTATTCTTTTTTACATGGAGCATTTTAATGCTCTATTTATAATAACACTTTGTTGAGATATATATATATAGCAAACAGCTTTTTGTATTGTGAATACCCATGAGCAAATTGGAAACGTAAACTTGGATTTTATCATGTTTGAATTATTTAAGGGCAAATTGTATATTTTTATTCAGGATTGTGGATGTTCCTTTTTAAGATAAACTATCTATAGAACTAATTGTGATATAAAGTGTTTCATCTGGGTTGAGCCGTCTTTGTGTTGAGGACTAATAGCTTTTTTTAACTAGGTTAACTACTGTAAGAAAGTAGGGCTTCAGTGAAACACTTAAGCACACCTTTTTAAAATATTTGCAAATATTGGTCAAGTATCATGGCACATGCCTTTACTCCCAACTGCTAGGGAAGGTAAAGATTGGGAGGGTTGCAGTTCAAGGCCAGGCCAGGCCAAAAAAAAAAAAAAGTTATTGAGACCCCCACCTCAACTAATAAGCCAGGTATGGTAGTGCCTGCCTTTAGACTGAGCTACACAGGAGGCATAGGTAAGGATATTTCAATCCAAAGCCAGCCTAGCAAAAACATGAAACTTTGTCCAACAAGATAAGTAACGAAAAAGGCTGGAGATGTGACTCGAGTGGTAGAGTGCCTGCCAAGCAAGCATGAGGCCTGAGCCAGTACAACTTGAATGAATGAATCCACATTTTCATCAAAGAATACATTTAATACAACATGACATGCAAATGTCATGCAGATTTGAGAATAATGTAATTAAAGATTGACTGGTAGGTGACTCTACGTTTGGATTAGAGTAGGAATTAACCAACCAGCATGATTTGAAAATGTCACAGAATGTTGTAAATAGAATGTTGTCAGCCTTCCCTTTGTTCATCCAGCCTGACACAGTCATTTCATAAGAGAACCCATTGAAGCACTGCAGGTGAGGTGCCAGACATGCATGAGCACATTCATAATTGTTGAACTGAGTTGTGGAATAAGTCAGAGCGAGGCTTAGTGTGTGATGTTCACTAACAGCTGTTCAAACTTTACCCTCTGATCATTAATTTTTAAAAAATAAGGGTTTTCACTGGCTATTTCGTATTCATTTAGAACTATGGCTTACAGCTCTAGCATGGTTATTTTGAATAGTTGCTCCTTTTATTCAGGTAAAACTTGTTTCTCCCTGTCATAGTATATTGACTGATAAGAATTAAACCCTAGTCTCCAGTGTCTGGTTGCTTAAAAGTTAGTATGTTAATTCTGTACTGTAATATAAGAAATTGTCCAGTGAAAGGATTTTCTGAATATAATCTAGGAAAATCTGGGCTAATATTTCTCTGTACAGCACTTAGGATTAGGTACCATTCTTCAGCCCTCCGTTAAGGGTGGAGTCAATTGAATACTATGGCTGGTTGGATATTATACAAATCTGCGTTCAGGGGTAGGGATATATGTATGTACATAGCTTGTAAGTACTAAAATAAAGGAGTAAAGTATTAATACTTATAATGAAACGTGTCCTCTGTACTGAGGCATATTTGGGATTATATTATGAACATTTTAAAAGTAACCCCTTCAAATAAATTGCTCTAATGCAGTAATCTGTATGGTAGTATGCATGCTCTCAGGATTTCAGAGGTACTTTTTAAAAATATTGTGTTAATGTCTTATTGTTGACTCTGGAATTGTTGTTTTCATTTTGGGTATTTTGGTTTTGTTTTTGTTGTTACTGTATAAAGTACAACAGTATGGAGCTATTTGTGTCCTAAATAGTTGTTTTAGAGAGGATTAAAAAGTGCCATTTTGTCCTATGTACCCATACATTTATATATATATATATATATGGCTGAGAAGTATGTGTTATAAACAGTTTAATTATATAGTAATCTCACCTCTACCTGAGTCTTAGTAGCTAAGGTACATAATTGCAGTACCTATTATAACATGTATACTTTGTTACTAAGATGCTACTCACCAGGCATTTTCTTTTTCTTCAACTGTTACGATAAACCTTTATGTGGTATTGCTCTAATGGCCACTTCAGTTTTACAAAATAATAAATTATGTTTTGATATTAACGTGTTTTAATATGTATAGTGTTTTATATTCAAGACATTATATAGTTTGACACTTATTTATAAAATGCTTCATTTTAGCTTACTCATAGTAAACTATTATAGTGACCTAGAGAAAGAAATGACTAATGCTACTATTCAGACTTAAAACTTTTTTGTTGTAACTCTTTTAAATCAAACATTTAGATTATTTTCTTCATAGGGTTTAAGTATGTGTTTGTCACCTTACTTTCCTATCCTATCTACTCATATTGTTATTAACTAAATGCTGACTTTTCCTCTCTCCCTTAATTAAAAGGGTGATGACCAGTCATGCGTAGGTCAAATAGGAATATATGTTTATACTTTTGTAGATTGTCACTTTATTATGTTAGTTCTAGTTCTATCTATGTTACAATTTCAGTAACAGTCTTCAGAAAACAACAGTATATCTAACTGATAATACAAAACGCTCTTTAAAAGTGTGTAGGGGCAGAAGCATAGTACAGAATTTTTACCATTTTTATTTTAGGCCAGCTCTTAAATGTATTAATTTCCTAATCATCAATGCTGAAAAATACTGTTCTCCAATTAAAATCTTTATGCTGTTTTAGAGTAAACAAATTTTTCCAATTTTATCATGATACCAACTTCAGTTTTTAGTTCTTTCTCATATTACCTGCCATCTTAGGTAGAACAGAAAATGACAAAGAACTGTGTTCAAGTGGTTAATACTTACAGTAAAAGTTACCTTCTCTTCTTGTCATTCATACATTTCATCCTTTTTAAGAGAAATGAAGCTGGGCACCAGTGGCTCATGCCTATCATCCTAGCTATTTGAGAGACTGAGCTCAGGAAGATTGCAGTTCAGGCCAGCCCTGGCAAAAAGTGTGCAAGACTCCATCTCAGCCAATAGCTGGACTTGGTGTTGCCTGTCATCCCAACTATGTGGGAGGATGAGATCAAGAGGTCATGGTTAGCCGGTACCTGTGGCTCACACCTGTAATCCTAATTACTTGGGAGGCAGAGATCAGTAGGATCACAGTTCGAAGCCAGCCTGGGCAGTAGTTTGTGAGACCCAATCTTGAAAAACCCAACACAAAACAGAGCTGGCGGAGTTAGTGAAGTCGTAGAGTGTCTGCCCAGCAAGTGTGAAACCCTGAGTTCAAACTCCTCCAGTACAGCCAAATTAAAAAAAAAAAAAAAAAAAGAGGATCATGGTTCCAGGAAAGCAAGACCCTGTCTCCAAAATAACCAGAGCAAAAAGGGCTGGATGCATGGCTCAAATGGTAGAGTGCCTGCCTGCCTAGCAAGCCCAAAGCCCTCAGTTCAACCCCAGTATCTCCGGAGAGGAGAGAGAGAGAAATTGAAGTTACAGATCTAGAAACTTCCTTCTTTCTAGTTTTTGTCTCATACTTTAAAAAAAAAAAAAAAAAAAGAACCAGAAAGTTCATAAAGTAAGAGAAAAAGTCAATTTGACAGACTTGCAAGAGTAGTAAACCTAGTATATGAATGTCGAAAGGAAGTGAAAGTAGAAAATTTGTATCTTTGCACCTAGGCTCCTGTTATTCCAAGAACAGATTTTGGTAAATTTATATTTCTCAATTATGTTAAGTGTGTGCTCGCTTTAAGAAATTTCGCTATAAGAAGCATGAAGCCAATCCCCTGAACTTTTAATTCCTTGTATCTTCCCACTGCTAATGCTTTGCCTTTTTGTATGTGTGTGTGCTTGTATAGTCCAAAATCATATTTTAAGGTAACATTTTAAACATACCAGAAACAGCTATCTAATTTAACAAGCAAATTCATATTCCCTGACCATAATGGGGAAACACCATATACATGCTGCTGGAATCATTTCTTAGCCCTTTAGCTAAGATCAAGTGTAAATGCTTCTAAAGCTACCGACTTATTAGCCAAAAAGTCCCCCGAAAATGAATGTACAACCTCTACTAATTCAGAATTTGGGATAATTCAGACAGTGCCTTGCTAAAGTCTTTACTGCTGATAAATTTCTTTAGCAAAGTATAAAATCAGCTTGTGAATAGATGGATTTATGTTGGGTAATATGGTAAGTGGTTAGAAAAATTTGGATTTTCATAAAATATAATGATAGCAATATCCTAATGAGTTATATTTTATGTTAATTCCCAAAAACTTTTAATATATCAAATTTTAATAAGTATTAATATTGCCAGCATAGGAAGCCAAGTTATTTCATTTTAACTTACAAATGAAGCCTAGAAATTTAATTAAAAATAATTTTACTCTGTCCCTGGAAAGTTTACAATTTTGCTCCTTCTAGGGTTCTCCAAATGTTTATTCCACTAGCGCTTGAAAACTGACCTCTTACCCTAGAGGTAAAAAGAATGGACTACTCTTTCCCTCAGGGTAGATTGGAAGTTAGGTAGCTGTAGTACCATAATGTGTTTAGTTGTTCCTTATTACTGCTTCCTGCTCAGTCATCCTCTGGAGGCCTAATTAGAGATTCTTCTGAAGGAGCAGTCCCAATAAGTCAGTTGCTCTTTCATTTGAGATTGCCTACTTGCTGGCCACAGCATAGAGCTTAAGAATTCCATCTTCTAGCCAGGCTCTGGTGGCTCATACCTGTAATCCTAGTTACTTAGAAGGCTGAAATCAGGAGGATTGCAGTTCAGGGCCCATCCAGACAAACAGTGCACAAGACCCATCTCCAAAATAACCAGAGCAAAATGGACTAGAGGTGTGGCTCAAGCAATAGAACACCTGCTTTGCAAGGGCAAAGCCTTAAGTTCAAACCTCAGTCCCACAAAAAAAAAAAAAAAAAGCCATCTTCTAATCAGAACATACTATTGAGTAGTGTTTTGGGAGTGCAGAGGACAGAAGTGATAAAGAAGTACCATCATGTATGCCTCTTGGGGTTCAAAAGTAAAATGAAGCCTTAATAGGAAAGAAAAATCATATTTCCTGAGCACTTTGTGCAAACTCAGCATTGTAATAATGCTGGGGCCAATTTGGACTCCATAGGATAGTACTTCCCAGCCCTTTTCATATCTTGGTACACAGAGGAACAAGCAGAACACACAGGGGCAAGCAGATAAGGTTGCCCTGGCCCAGAGAAGACTGCCAGTAGGATACTGGTTGTGTTACAGTCTGAGCCTTAAGATTTAGACTTGCATACAAGTTAATAAACATACCTGATCAGTTGGGAAAAGTCCTTGACATCCAAAGCTTCTAGAAAAACTCAAGCTCTTATGGGGAGTAATTTTGAGTTTAGGGTCTATAATTTGGTAAATGTGACAATACTAATGACAAGGCCCACGGAGCAAGAAAAAGAGTGAAAGATCCAAAGGAATAGAGTCAGGAAAAAAGGGACAGTCGTATAACAGAATCAGACTTGGGAGCCACTGTGGAATTTATTTTGCAATTTTTGGAATATATTTTGCAAAACAGGTATTGAGGGTTATAATATCTTAAGACTTGGAATCAAAATTATTCTTAATGTTACTTCTATTAGGAATACAGAAGGTCTAAACCTCGCCATAAACCTTTCATTTCCAGAGTCATGTATTCATATTTTGCATTTCTATAATGTAAATTAAGCATCCCTTATGAAAATTAGTACCCTGATAGAGCATTATGTCTGGTTTCTAATCAACAGTTGTCCCAAATGTATCCCAAATTTAGAAGTGGCACAAAACCCAACCTTTTAATAGCTGCTATTTTCTAATGTATAGTGAAGAAGTACTTGAATATCTTAACAGAACTATTACTATTACTATGAAGTAACCTAGAATTTTTATTGCCAAATAAACCCCTCAGTATAACTTAAGCAGCAGTAGAATTCATCTTAACTGTGAAGTTCAAACTGACACTGAACCCCTAGATTCAAAGGGACTATAAATTCATTTGTGTTTATAGAACATAAATTGTATCTGTCATTATTAATTTGTCGTCATGCATATGTCTTTTCCTTTGAGAACAGAGCAAATGAGCATAGCCTACAGACCCAGAGAGCTTCATTTAAAATGGGATATAGTTACAGGATAATACTGTCAGATCTTCAATACAAAATACTCTTCCAGTAAAGGAACTCCCGCACCCTATTGGTCAGTCCCTGCTAGTTGAATGTAGCCAGAGATGCTTGTTCCAAATTCTCAATTTAAAATAAGGGCAAAATTTAAAAGCATAACCATGTGACATTGAGATGGTACTTTCAGGTAATTGGGCATTTCACATTAATTGGTATTGATAAACACAAAGCATTTCTGCTGCAGTCTTATATTAGTCTCTCATCTGTGCTTACATAAATGTTAAGTTTACTTAAGCCCCTGAGTTTTCTCTTCCTTCTCATCTCTTTTAATGAATTATAATTTCCTAGTATTTTAAAAAGATGTTATCAAAGTATAAAAAGATTTTGACAGCCTTTATATTTTGAGCTAAGTGCATCTGTTTCTAGAAATGCATCCTTAAACTTCTTTCAGAATTCCTTTAACAGCAAATTATTATCAATTTTAAGTCTATAGCACAATTGGTTATTTCAGTTTCATAAATTAGTTACTATCCTTCATTATCATGAAGCTAAAGTAATGAAAAATTAAGTTCACAGAAATATATACTCCTTCTTAAATTTAAATTTAAGACTGTGCGGACATGCACAGTGTTCTTCAAGTAGCACTACCTTAACCTCCTTTAGGCTACAAAGCATAGCTAGAAATCCTTCTTATACTCAAGCTTTAGAACTATTAGAGGAATTAAAATCCAGCTGACTCTTAAAAATATTTTCCCTTTTTAAAATCCATCAGATGGTGATAATTCTGCTTTTACATTTTAATTATTTCTATTTGTTGGTACCCTGGTGGGATAGGCAAGTAATCATGTTAAGTTACTATTAAGCCCAAAGTTGTAATGCTTTTCTTAATGGGGGAACCATAAAGCTACTCAATCAATCCATTGAGGGGATAAAAGAGATGGCTCATTCCCATCCAGTTTTGTTTACAAACGGTGTTGCTCAAATTTAGGTGACTGGCTACTAGGGAAATAAATGAATATGGATTGAGGATGGAGCAAAGAATTCAATGCTTTACAATAAATGGACTATATTTGAGAGTTCAAGAGAGGATTGGAGAAAATAACTGAGTATGTAAAAAAATGGTAAGTTTCTGATCGTTCAGTTGAAGGCAAGTGGCTGGCTCGATGAAATGATGTAATTGATAGTTTTCATCTGTGACCCTGATATCTTAGCCTCTATCTCAGAATTGAGAAATGAGCAGAATTTATCAGAAGGGATTTTCATTGCTGGTATCTTTTGTGTGTGCATGATGTATAGTACACACAGTTCTCCTCATTGATCCTTCACAGGTGTATTATTTACTTTGCCTTCCAGGTGTCCGCAAATATGGTAAAGATTTTCAAGCTATTGCAGATGTAATTGGCAACAAGACTGTTGGCCAAGTGAAGAACTTCTTTGTAAACTACAGGCGTCGGTTTAACTTAGAGGAGGTATTGCAGGAGTGGGAAGCAGAACAAGGAACCCAGGCTTCTAATGGTGATGCTTCTACTTTAGGGGAGGAGACAAAAAGTGCTTCTAATGTGCCATCAGGGAAGAGCACTGATGAAGAAGAGGAGGTGTGTTTGTGTCTGGAATTTGAGCTAATATGAGTTGAGGAGTCACCATTTTGTGTGGTGTTCTGTAAGGTTAATTTGTCAGAGGACTAGTTAAATGAGCATGAAAGGTTGACAATACACTTACTCAGCGGTGCATCTCTCGTGACTCTTAAGTCATAATGACGTGCTAATTTCTGATCCTAGCAGAATGGAAAGTGTATTGTTTTCCTGCAGTCTATTTTTAAGCTGTTTACTAATAAAGATGCCTGTTCGGTAGCCTCATTTCTTTTTTTTGTTTTGTTTTTTTGTTTTTGTTTTGTTTAAAATAAAAGAAGCTTGTGCTTCCAATAAACACTGGTGTTATGTTTTTGTTTTGTTTTGATTTGTTTTGTTTTTCCTGTGACAGCCCAAACTATGTTGTATTAAATTCGTTAGGACTTACATCTCATGCGTGTATTTTTGTTTCCTCACCTCTAGGCACAGACCCCACAGGCTCCTCGGACTCTGGGTCCATCACCTCCTGCCCCATCATCCACTCCAACACCAACAGCCCCCATTGCCACTTTGAACCAGCCTCCACCACTTCTTCGTCCAACACTGCCTGCTGCCCCTGCTCTTCACCGGCAGCCTCCTCCACTCCAGCAGCAGGCTCGGTTCATCCAGCCCCGGCCAACTCTAAATCAGCCTCCACCACCTCTTATTCGCCCTGCTAATTCTATGCCACCCCGTCTAAACCCAAGACCAGTGTTGTCCACAGTTGGTGGTCAACAGCCACCATCACTTATTGGAATTCAGACAGATTCACAGTCCTCACTGCACTAAAAATTAAATTGGACAGCTCTGCAGTAACTTTTCACCCCACCATTACACCAGTGCTCATCTGACTGATGCAAAAAAGGAGATAATAATCCTTCCTAGATACTGAGGCTGCAAACTAGTTCTGTGGCAGTGGACTAGCATAAATGGATGTCTAATTTTTTAGTTCACTAAACTAAAATGTTACACCACAAAAAGCCTCCACTTAGCCTCATTTCTAGATATGTGTACACCAACGAGATTTCATAAAAGGAAAAAAAGATTTGAGTATTCTATATACCAAGGGTTTCTTGTTTTGTTTCTACTATATTTATTTTATTGAGGTTCTTTTTATTCCTGCCTCTTCATAGTCAAGTTTCTTGGTATAGGAATATTGACCTAGATATTGTAAAAACTCCTTACGTTTCTTAAGGATGTTTGGCTTCTTTCTTTTTTTCTTTTATTTAATTTTTTAAGAACATTTCCTATGTTAGGAGTGCAAGAATAGCCTGCATTTCAGATTTTGATAAATGTTCATTTTATTCATATTTAAAGAATTATAGCTCTATATCCCTTTTATCAAAATATGTTGCTTTTTGTCTAAAGGAATTTAACACATTCCTTTAAAAGAAAGCAATTTAATCAATTGCAAAGCAATTATATGAAACCACAAAGAATGTATTGAACCTACTAACCCTTTAACATGCAGTATAGGGTCCTAGTGCAAAGTCCTTCTTTAAAGGTCTTTGACCTTACCATCTATCATTAATAAGAGGATTGGAATAATAATTTTACATAGAGATAAGGACTTAATTTGTTGAAATATAATGTCTTTAAGATCCTTGAAAATGTAGTTGATTTTAAAAAAGAAATTTATGTTTCTAAATGCTATTTGCTTTTAACTAATAGTTGCCTACATTTGGGGATTTTAGAAGAAAATTATATTTTGTCAGTTCTGTAGAGATGGTGGATATAGAAGCATTTATTTACAATACCCTTTTTGTGTTTAGTTTCTAAACTTAAAACTGCCCTCGTACTTATTAACATAGTCTGCACTTAATATGAAGGGTGTTTTCTTGATAAATCTCTGTTGTACTACTTGGGTACATTTGTGTATTCCTTGCAACCAACCTGTGCTCCTGGGTTTGGTTTAGGGTTAAATCAACATTATTTCATAAAATGAATTTAAGAATTTGTTCTGTGTTATCTAAAGATGTATCAGTATATTGCCATAATTGTGCTGTTAACTAAAAATACTGAGACCCCTTTTTATAAAGAAAGACTAAAGAAGTCTTAGTTCAATACATAATCATTAAGCAGGCACCTACAAAGAATAGTTTACAAGTGATAGTATTTACACACTGTGTTACTGATATTTTTTGATACAATGATTTCATATTGGAATCATGATTTGTGCAAAGGAACAGATTGCTTAGATTGCTATACTAGTGGGACATAAGGCTAAATGTTTGCACGTTCACATTCTCAACACATTTCACCAAGCAGTCAACATCAGTGGCCCTAATTTATGTTTTGAGAGGTCATTTATCCCCCAAATATTAGAAGAATAGTCCCTTTTATTGGCTCTACAGCCTTAAAGAGCTATAAATTTAAATTCATTAATTTTTTTTATTGTTTTATTCATATGTGCATACAAGGATTGGGTCATTTCTCCCCCCAAATTCATTGATTTTAATTTTTGAGTTTAGACCACTTCATTTAGGACCCTATGTTCTGGCAAAATCAAAACGTTTTACAGGATAGGTCCTTTTCTTCCTCATTGGATCATCTTAAATAGTTCCTGCCTCGGGATTATAGCCAGATAGCATTTAACTGATTTAAAATAATATTAAAGAATTTACAATTATTTTTACTTTAAAAAGCCATGGGGGACATTTATATCTTAAAATATCTAAAGCATTTTTAAAGCACTTCGATTGTCTTGCATATGTGCATACTATACCTTGACAGCTTTTATTGTCTTGTCTTTTGTCAGTAGACCTTCAGTACACAGTATGTGGGGTGTGTGAGTCAAGCTGGTCAGCACCAGCATCTGTCCAGCTGTTCAGTATATTGTGATTCATTTAAAATCTGTTCTATCCAAGACATGGGCCAAGGTGCTGTATCTGAGGGATGTGCTGTAATTTTATTTACATACACTAGAGCACACAGTAGAAAAATCTTAGCTTCATTAGTAATATGACACATGTATATAGTGAGATGTCCTTATTGTGTGCTTTGCATATTTTGTAAATATTCTGCACGTCATTTTCCTTTTTTGTTTAAGCAGTGTTTGGCCTGGAAGAATAATATGCTTGCTGCTTAATCAAAGGATTAAAGATTTAAAGATGTCTATGTCTTCTATTTTTATATAGTTTTATGTTGTATGAGGAATTTAGGACCTCTTCACTGTGAAATTCTAAATACTGATTTTTATAAAAAAAAAAAACCTAGAAATCTTTTAATGACCATTTTCATTAATTCAAGGTTATCTTTTTTGAAAAATCGACACCAAAGTGTTTTTATTACTTAACCAAAAATAAATCACACTGTTGATGCATCTGGTAAAATCAATGAAAAAATATTTTTCTATATGATTTAATTCCAGTGTAATACGGTTGAAGGCAAAGGTTAAATTATCAAAAGTTGTTCTATTATTAATAAGCTTATGATAAGTGAGACAAATAGAATATAAAATAAATGTGAAAGAATGTAATATTCTGTCTTAATATGGGCCTATATTCTTGTTAGGAATAGATATAGGGAGTAAGCCAAGAATATGAGTCATTATTTTGGGAGGTATTTTGGTTGTAGGTACCAAGTTTAGTTATTAGACATGTATTAATGTTTCCTCCTGTTATAAAAAGAATATTACCCTTAAATATTATTAACTGCTAACCAATTTACTTGGGGGTATCAGGATTTCCTCAAAAAGAATAATTTAACTTAGAAATCTGAGCAGAATTTGTCTTTCTTTGTGTACTTCTCCAAAATAAGTGATGAATAGATTTTCTGATTATAGGAGGCATAAGAAAAAGTCCAAAACGTATTATTAGGTTTTTGAGTGTCGACATTTCTTATAGGTTACATCATTTATAAGAAGATAACAGGATAATTGAGTATGGACAGAATTCGTCTCAATTTGAGAAACCTTGCCATATTAGAAAATATCTCAGAAACTGTCTCATTTTTGACAGCTGACTTATGGGAGTATATAAACCTTTCTGTTAAGAAAAAATAGATTGTATCATTTCACCCCATCTTTACCATGACTATAAATAACTGCCTTAGTGAAGGAATATTATGCAGGCGTATATCTTAGTATTGGTGTTTAGAAGTTAAACATTAAAGGGAATACAATGTGTGAATTTGTGTCTCAAAGGCTATGTGGCCTTATCTGCCCTTTTTCTGCTCTCTTAAGCCCTATTTTAAAGGAGAAATAATGAAGACTGGCAGTTATTGTTGAATTGAAACATTTGCCAATCACTACCACATATAAAATAGGTTAGTAAAGGAGTGGGTCTTACAATGTGGTAACTTCTTAAGCTTTAGAATCCCAAAGCAGGATTTAGGTGGGCTGAGTTTCTAAGAAAATGATGGGGGGAGGTGGTGAGACTGAAGAGCAATCTTAATGTAAAGGCCATAAGAGTCAATGTTCAGAATGCTTTACATAGTGTCTTGTCTCTGGATTGTCTTAAAGATTATCTGCACAATTTCATCTTAATTAAATGTGTAAGGTACAATTATCAATAAGTAACAAGATCCTGAATCTACAACACAAGATGTCTCTAGCCTATTGCTTGGAACAGCTTTCTTAGACTGCATTTGGCTTGAAGAGGCCTTCACTCCAAGACCCTTTTAGTTAACATGCTGACTCTTCACTCTTGCCATAAGAGTTTGTAAACATAATCACAAGGGACTTGTCATTTGGTTTATATATGCAAAATAATTGCCCCCAGCTTAACGTGATGACTTCCAATTTGGCTCAACAAGTTATTTAACTTCTCTGAGCCTTTCTTCCTCATCTGTAAATAGGGGAATATTTATAGTTGTCCGATGTGTATTAGAGGTTTTTTGCATGTCCTGCTTAACAGCCTTTTTAACTAGGAAAGTGTATATTTTAACTTTTTCATTTAAATGCAATGCAGACAAGAATGAAATTCCAGTTCAGGCTGGCGAGTTGAACATATTTTTCTTCCCTCCCCAAATCTTAATCTGAAATTATAAGTGTAAAAAACTAAATACTCCTTAACAGTGCTAGAAAGCTAAAGGTGATAACTGCTAGCAGGTAGGGACAAATTTATGACAAAACTCCTCAAATTAAGGAACTTCCCAACTCCAAAAATGCAAAAGATTAGAAAAACTGGTATTATCATAAGGATCCCATAATCTCAGAGGGGAAGATGTAGAGCAGCTCCCAATGATTCCAACCTCCTGGTATTTATGCCTTTCTGTATAGGCTAGTCCTAGTGCTAAACCAGCAGAGCACAGAAAAGGTAAGGAGATGTCATATTTATGATTAGATTATATAAGATTATGATTCCTGTCTCGCTAGCTGGCAATATTGGAAAGATCTGTGTAACAAGGAGAGGCCAGACTGCCAACCACCAACAAAGAATTTAGGCCCTCAGTTTAACAATCTGCCAAAAACTGCATCCTGCCAACAACGATGTGCACTTGGAAATCAGTCCATTCCCAGTCAATCCTTGAGATGACTAGAGCCCAGCCAACAACTCCATAGCAGCCTATGAAAGACCATGAAGCAAAGAAATCAACTGTGTCCAGATTCCTTAGCTCACAGAAACTGGATTAATGTATGTTACTTTGAGCTGCTGAGTTTTAGGGTAATTTTTGTGCAGCAATAGAAAACCAAGACAGTTGATAAGATAAATACTAATCAAAAGCTGATAATGTCAAAAGATTTCAGGGATGAAGATGGTCATATAATAATAATGAAGGTGTCTGTTCATCAAGAAGATCCCTGTTAGAACTGCAAAAATAGGTGAATCCACCATTACAGTCAGTGATTGCAATAACCCTCAATAATCGGAGCGTGTAAGCCAAAAATGAGTAAGAATATAAGACATGAAAACACTTTTATCAACCACCCTTACCTAATGGGAAATGTATACATCATTCCACCCAATAACAGAAGAATAAACAGTCTCATGTGTACATGATATATTTCCAAAACATAATATTCTGTGCCATAAATAACTTTTAATGGAAAAGTACTCAAGGTATCCAAAGAATCTTCTAAGTACAATGGAATTAGAAATCAGAAATCTGGGAAATTCCTACGTATTTGAAAACACATAAATAACCTATAGGTAGAAATGGAGGGGGACAAGCTGACAGTTTAGAAGCTTTTTTGATTGACTTCGTGAGTGAGAAGAGTCAGGGTAGCAAAGGAGAGACTTCTGAGGTCAGAAAAAGAAGAATAGCACTGAGAATCATGAGGTAACAAAACAGCTGAAAAATAGAGAACCAGAGAAACATAGGAAACAACCTGCAGTTCTAACCCTAGCTCCCTGAGGGGAAGAAGAAGCTGAAACCAAAGCCACAACCACAAGGTAAGCCAGGCCATTCTGGCCACAGACTGCCAAACCTCATAAACCCACACTTCATTCAAGCCTTACCCAGTGTTGGGATTTGGTGTGACAATGACTACTGCTGCATGGCTAGCACTGGAGGAGAAAGACCCTTTGCTGCTCCTCATGTCTCAAGAGTACTATAGCCATGTGCCCACCTTGAGAGGGGGGCCCATTCTTTGAGCAACAATGGAGACCTGAAAACAAGCAAGTATCACAGCTCAAGGAGCCTGGTGTGACCATGCCACAGTGTC